ACCTCCATGTGCAGATTTCGTGGCAGGCACAGCGCTTTGTGAACCTCCATGCTTCTCCGAACCTCGACGGGAAGCTCCGCGGAACGACGGTTGCGAGACGGTCTCGGGTCATGCTCGGATCATTCTCGGATCATGCTCGGGTCATGCTCGGAATCGCCCCTTCACCGGAGGTTTTAGTTGTTGTGCAGATTTCGTGGCAGGCACAGCGCTTTGTGAACCTCCATGCGCAGAGTTCGGAGAAGCGCTACGCAGAGACCTGTGACTTGATCGCCAGTCACATGGCATCTCACACGCACAAAGAAACTGGCCACACGTGGCATATGCCATGTGTCAAGCCATTAGCGGCCCGCAAGAATTACCCTGAGTGGTACCGCCACGTGAATCCCCCGAACCAAGAAGGGCATGGAGGAGGTATTAGCGATGGTTACCAAGTTGCTTAGTCGAACTGAAATGCTCAAGGATCCTGAGGCCTTACAAAAGGTAAAGGATGAGGCGGGCGGCTTAGTTGACGAGGGCGCTTGGGAGTACGAGTCCGTACGTGAAAAAGAGCATGTCCGCGCAGAGGCGAAAGCCTCCGGCATCTCGGTGCACTTCGGCAAATTGATGGCTATCGCGCCCATAAAATTTTACGAACTTGCCAAAGAGCTACCAAAGAAAAAGGGTAGAATCGTCTAGTGTGGGGACTGCGCCAAAGATGAATATGGTGCGGCGGCTGTATATGAAGAGTTAGGTGCCAACCCCACATCCGTGCAAGGGCTCAGTGCTTGCTTAGCATACGGTAGCCTCCCAGGTAACCTATGCACGGCCGCAGACGCTGTCAAGGCCTATGTGCAAGCAACGCTCAAATCCAAGTATAAAACTTGGATCGGTTTCCCCCCCGAATAAAGGCCGGCGTGGTGGAAGGACAAGTTCGTTCAACCTGTCGCGCTACTGGTGAAGGCTCTCTACGGACACCCTGATGCGGGCGGCGTGTGGGAGCAACACCTAAAACAGATCCTTAAAAGGATGGGAGGCGAAGAAATCACCGAATTCCCCGGTAATTTCTGGTTCCCTAGTTCACGTCTTATGTTATCCACTTATGTTGATGACCTAACTTTGGCTGGCCCTCGCGACCAACACGATAAGTTCTGGTCCGAAACGTAGAACCTGAACCCGTCTACAGGATCTTAGGAAGGAACCACGTGTACGCCACGCTTCCTGATTCGGGGCACACCGAAACCGCTGCTTTGCGCGGGAGCGCTGACGCACTAGTCGTCGACGCGCAGGACTATGCGCAGCAGACTATTGACCTCTACAAGTCAGTAGCCGGTGTGGATAAAGTGAAGCCCGCACAGACACCATTCCTCGTGGATGGTACCTTCTCACAAGCGGACGAAGGGACCCCAGGGGACCTTGCTCCCAAGGCATGCTCACTACCTACCTACGGTTCACCAAGGTGCAGTGAAACATTGCCACCCGACCGTCGCTCGCGTTGGCTCAAGAAAATTGGGCGTCCGCTCGGTTTTCTTCAGGGTGCCGCTTTGACGTGCTGTGTGCGTCACTGCTTTCGTCGCGTTCTCGCTTCCGCACCTTTCCTTTGCTCGCACCGTTCGTTCGATTGCCACCGTGCGGTTCCATACGCATTCGCAACGGGCACCCGTCCTTCGGACTCCCGTCGCGCTTTCGCAAGAGTAGACCGGGCCGCTAGAGATCTTGCATACTTCTTCCACAACATCCCCTTCGATAGGATTTCGTGGGCAATCTCTTACCTACCCGGTGGATTAGCCAATTCATTATAAAGCCCCTTTCTCGACGACAGTTATCGACGACAGCTCCACACGTTGGCAACCACCACCCTCGGTTTTGACGACGGGTACACGCTTTGGCGACCTCCACCTTCGTTTTTGACGACACACTTTGGCAGCCAACATCGTGCCTTCTTGTTTGACGAGCTTTACATTTTGTCGTTTTCGACGACAATTACACACTGTGGCAACTTCCAGCTGGCGCTCAACACACACAATCGCCGCAAAGTCACTACCAGCTCATATTTCGCCGGTTTGTGCATCCGACGCGGCCGCGCGCGATCTCTGCACGGGGTTCATCCGGCCCTCCACGAATTCGCACCTCACCTCACATTGAGCGTTCGGCGCGTAGTTTGTTTATATTGTATGTGAGCGTAGGCTTGATTTTGGTGTTTACTGAAGCAAGACCCCTGCGAAAGTTAGTTGACTGAAGCAAGATCCCGGCGAAAGTTACATGAACTAGTTTACAGGCGTGTTTACTTCTGTGGCAAGGTTCCAGCGAAAGTTGCATGAACTATTTGGCAGGTATGTTTGTTGAAGCGAGATATCAGCACTAACGCAGTCCACCGAAGCAAGATCCCCAGCACCAAAGCAATTCCACACAATACTAACAAGTATCATATTACCACCTCCACAGCAGCAACTCTAGAAAGCCACACCTGCAAGCTGCAGATGTACTTGTGGCACATCTACAGATGCTAATATATAAGTCTGAAACGTAGTAACGCAGATCTGTAACGCAAACCCTTTCTACAGAAGAACCCTTCGCAAATTCTCCCGGAAGAAAAAAGGGGAGACCCCACCATAAATGTCATTGAAACATGGTTCCTGTGATTGAATCCAAATTGAACCCTTGACCTGGTTTGCTTGCCTTGTGTGTTTTCTATGCAATCGAAAGGGCAGTGAGCAAGCTGAACGATTGACGTATTTTCCATGTTGTGTTGGTTTTTGGGCACCCTTTGAGACTGTGCATCTTGAGGAATCCGAGAGCATTCTGACGGACACCCTGCGGAGCCTGCACGAGGCACGCTTCACCTTAGGTGGCTAAAGTTTGAGCTTTGGACATCAAACGAAGATTGGATCCCAAACAAATTGTGTTTGAAAGCCATGTGATTGATCATGTATCATTCTCTCATCATTTAGTGCAGTAGCTTTAGTTTATTTTCAGTAAAGACTTGAAGAGATTCAGCGCAATTACACAGATTTCCTGCCCTTTGCTGGCTTGTGCGCTTGGCTCCAAAAAAGGCCAAAGAGAGGCTCAGCGCTCTGCAGTCCAAGAAGGACTTCACTGTGGTGATCGCGATGGAGGCCAAAGCTGTGAGATTGATGGGTCCCATTCAACCACCGAACCGGCAAGAGCGGTGTCCCAGGAGAGAGAAAAAGATGCAAAGATCAAGTACACAAAGCTAAAGGAGATTCGAATCAAACATGTGACTATGATGGCTCAAAACAGGTACCACTGTGCCAACTGGTAGTAAGCAAGCGGCATCGTTTTGAACCATATCCAGACAGCGATATCTTCACTGCGCAGGAGCAATATGAGGGAAAATTCGAGATGATGGTGACTTTCCATCCAAAAGACCTCGAGGTGTTCAAGCCAGCTGAAACTTCCACCAGTAGCGGCCTTCCTGCCAGGTGACGCACATGGATGGGAGTGTAGAGCCTGAGGTGAAGGGAAAAGCTTCAAATCTCAAGCATGCAGTTCAGGAGGCAGAGCCCTACCGAGTCATGGAAGCAAGGCAAGCGAGGCCAGGAGTTGTGTCTCGTTTGTCTCAGGTTTGCAAGAAGTTTGACAAAGAGGAGAGCTCCAAAAAGAACGCCCTGGCCTTGGATGGTGAAGCAACTCCTGAAAGCGTTGGACATTGCACATGCACTGGCTTATTGGGTAGCAGCTCCTTGACCTTACCAGTAGAACTTGATTGCATCCTGCCGTCTACACAGTTCTGTCAGCTTGCATTGCCTTGGCGAAGCCAACAAAAACAAAGTAACCAGATGAAATGCGAGAAAGATCGTCAGGTTTGAACAATGATTGTTTCGTGGTCTATCAGTTGATGTTTGCTTGTGTGGGCTACTTTTCAAAATTCAAAGGCTACAACAAAGTTCGGTTGGTCAGAGCAAGGATCCATTGGTTTGCCGGTCCTTTTTGTTCTTTGTCTTCAGCAAGTAGAAGGGGCTCGGTGTCAAGATTTGAGAACAGGTACTTTAATGGGGGCTATAGTTCTGGGAACTAGACACGCTTTGGGTCTTCATTTGAGCTGCGCGCGAAACTGTTCATGCGCGAGTGTACTCTTCGAGGCTCCTCCTATGATGCAGGTTGCTCCAAACCCTGTCAAATTATAGTTTAAAGTACAAAAAATATAACTTGAAGTATGATATTATGTTCTACTCACTACTCGCTACTTAATGGCGGTAGCAGGAGAAGGAGGAGGAAGAGGAGTAGTGGTAGTCGTAGTCGTAGTCGTAGTAGTAGTAGTAGTAGTAGTAATAGTAGTAGTAGTAGTAGGAGTAGGAGTAGGAGTAGTAGGAGTAGTAGGAGTAGGAGTAGGAGTAGGAGTAGGAGTAGTAGGAGTAGTAGGATTAGTAGGAGTAGGAGTAGTAGGAGTAGTAGGAGTAGTAGGAGTAGTAGGAGTAGTAGGAGCAGGAGTAGGGGTAGGGGTATGGGGTAGGGGTGGGGTAGGGGTAGGGGAAGGAGTAGTAGAAGCAGCAGCAGCAGCAGTAGTAGTAGTAGCAGCAGCAGCAGGAGCAGCAGCAGCAGCAGCAGTGGTAGGTAGTCGTGCTAGTATCCCCCACCGGTGTTCGCCTATAAATGCCGATCCTTTTGTGCTATATTATGATAATTTTGACCCTCATTTATAGGGCGCCCATGCGGTGCACACACTGAATCTTGGTGTTTTTTGAAGGTTTTGCAGGTATGAGGTCCATTTTTGCATTTTAGAAACTTGAGTGATTTTGATGCTATTAGAGTCAAGGGTGCATTTTATAGCAGGATGTTTTTTTATTTTGATACTGGCACCTGGTCAGTGCATTTTATAGGCAATTGTTTTTTTCTCTTGGATTAGTACAGGACCCAACAAGAGCATTTTATCAATGTTGTTGGACATGTTCATACATTGTCCAACTAAAAGGGCCTTGGGCGTGTAGACACAGGCCATCCAGGCGTACTTGCACCTGCCCTCTCCCATTTCATAGACAAGGACTCTCAGGTATAGACTTGCTAGAAAGCCTGTGACTGTGGGATGGCTTCCAGCTATATATATATATGTAAATACAAAGCCAGCTAGTCTATAAAATGCGGCAGGCAGGTGCAAGGGCCCTAACGCCAGCAGGCACCCGCCAGAGACATTTTATATACTACCATTGTGCCAGGTACGTTTGGGTTGCCTGTGTTTACACGCCAAAGGCCCAGAGACCCCCATTGGTCTCTAAACGATTCTTGTTTGAAGATTTGCCCAAAAGTCTCCATGTAGCCAACCAACCCAACCCAGCAGGTGAATTCCAACTAGTTGCATCTAATTACAACGCCTGCTTGTCTATAAAATGGGGGAGGGCAGATGCAAGGGCCCTAACGCCGGCAGGCACCCACCAGGGGTATTTTATATACTAATATACTACCAACATTGCAAGGACAGGCCAGCAGGTTAATTCCAGCTATATATATATAACTACATCCAATTACAAGGCGTGTTTGACAAAGTTCTGCGATGTTGCGAGGCATTTGATAGTTTCTGATTTGCGCCTGTTTGTTCACCCTCTTTTTGCGTTTGCACCCACACTTGGCATTTTATAGACAGTGAACTGTTTGATGTATTTTCTATGGTGAACCCATCATGGACATTTTATAGGTCTGCTGTTTTTTTTGGCTATTTTTAGTGTTGAATGCTCAGAATCCACTCACCCATTTTATAGTTTAGATGCTTTTTGCTCAGCGTTGCATTTTACAGGAAATCCACCCTCTCCATGCATTTTAACGGGCCCAAAGTTTATAAAAAGCATCTAAAAGCATCCAACCTAACAATGAAGGGGGATGTTCTAGTTAAGTAAGGAGTTTGAAGGGCAACAATAGCAAAAGAGTAGACAAATCAAGAACTCTTAAAAACACCCTGGGTGAAAAAAGACTTTTTACTATTCCGTCCCATTACACTAATCAGGGTGTATGAATAATTGTGCGAAAACTGTTTACTATTTCGTCCCATTATACTAATGCGACATACTATAGACGTTGTTCCCTTGCTTGTGTCAGCGCCGCCGTCAGCGGCACTGAGTAATTTGCAACTTTTTGTGTTTTTTCGGGCTCAGGGGTTTGGGGGTCACAGTGCTTCACTTGAGGGGGCCTTGGTGAGGTTGCATCACTTTCGATTGGTTGTAATGTTTTTCTGGGGGGGCAGGGTGCCAGGCACAGGGTCCAGCTCTGTCGGGCTCACTCAGGTTCAACGTTGTTTGCGCGCTTCATTCGTTCCAACGTTTTTGCGCTGGGATTTAGAGCATCAAGATGCTGACCGAACCATTTTCACTCCGCCATGCTGACGGCTCTTGAGTTCTTCGACTTCTTTTTGCGGGCGGCGCTGCCCGAACTTTTCCATTGACCAGCAAGCAAGAGTGTGAACTCCGCAGCGTGCGCAGATACGCGCAAGATCGAAGAATGCAATCGGTGCAGGGTCAAGGCCGTGCGAGGTCAAGGGTATAACTAGGGTCTTAACATTCCATAGCCAGTGGCAGGATCTGTGAAGGGAGATTGCTCATCATGCCAACTATCGGTGCTTGTTCTCATCAAACCAGGTGCTGGAGACCTTCACTTTGTCGGGCACCGCACTGCTCTTTACCATGGCGACCTGCAGCCATGGATTTCAAGCTTGATCACAAGCATGAAGAATGCACTCTGGCCTTCAAATGGAGCACGCTGTTGGCTGTTGGCAACGTAGCATTGCCGTCGACATCAAGCCACACCAACTGACTGCTAGCGCATCTACTGCTCAGCTTGTTGCAGGAGAGCCAGAGTTGCAGCTTCCATTCCGTGAGGTGGAAGTGCATGCAGCAGAGGGCGAAGTGCTCGGTTCCACCGGACACCGAATGAGAGTGCAGTTGCGCCACGCAAGCGCTTGCGGCGCAAAACTAACTGCTACGAGCGCAAGCATCGACCCCACACGCTTATAGAAATGCGTGCTGAACTGAATGCCACTCGCCGCACGGCAACCTAGGTAACCATATTCCCGAAGAATCGTGAAAGGGACAGGTCGAAATGATGGCGGCCGCTCAAGTCTGCAGAACTCATTAGCCCTTTATGGAAGATTGGAGTAACAGCTTGAGAACATCACACCAAAAGGTACGTCACGGTGATCAGCCGTGACATCCGCATGTACTGTGGCCGCTTGGTTGGACCATCGCTCACAGCACATGGATGGTCCCTCCGCTTACAAGGAAATGCAAATCCGAAGGGATCCCTGTGACTCCAAGGGTTACACACACACACCCAAAGGGGTGCAAAAATTAAGCGACGAGCTACTGTGCATGTGCGAGCGCAGCGTGGACGAAAAGATGAGGACACGAGAAAGCGGACAGACGGGATAAAAGTGTAGGCGGTTGGAATGAAAAGGGGACCAAATGCACAGGGACAAACGGTGAACCATACCTCCTTGTCAGAACCTCAAACCTGGGTTAACAGTAGATGTGCACGTACAGACGTCGACTAAGGCCCGGACCGATGTGCGCGCAAGAGTAGGAAAGGAGTGAGATGACAGGACACGAAGCAGGGAGAGGCACGAAACGAAAGGAGGAAAGAAAGTGTGTGAGAAGGGGAAAAACCAAATGGAGGGGCCGGAAACCGATGAAGCCTGACCTCATTAAAGCGACCTAGGCAAGACCTGGTTAAAGGTGTGCGTGCTGTGCGCGGGCAAAAGGCTCCAGCAGGTTCCAATGAACCTAACAAAAGCTTCGGTCGCTACGACCACGCGGTGGCGTCAAGCCGCTTGGGCCGCTGCAGTCGCCTCATGGCTTGTCCGAGGACTGCCTACTTGTTTTCAAGAATCCATCAAGACTTGGCAAGCAACTTTGGCTTACGCCTCCTACGCTCGCTGCGAGCTGCTCTGTATCCGGGCAGGGGATATGTTGGAAAAGACCCGTTCGACGGGTCCATAGGGGGCACTAGTCAGGTTCACCCTGGGCTCTCACTAAGGAGAGACACACTTATGGAAATGCGTACTGAACTGAACGCCGCTCGCCACACGGCAACCTAGGTGACCATATTCCTGAAGAATCGTGGACGGGTTCTGATAATCTCTAGTCATTAAGAGGCCAAAGGTCCAATCACGTGGTAACGAAACGACGAACAGGTCGAAATGACGGCGGCCGCTCAAGTCTGCAGAACTCATTGGCCCTTTATGGAAGATTGGAGTGACAGCTTGAGAACATCACTCCAAAGCAGGTACGTCACGGTGATCAGCCATGATATCCGCATGTACTGTGGCCGCTTCGTTGGACCATCGCTCACAGCACATGGATGGCCCCCCCGCTTAAAAAAAAAAGTAGATCCGAAGGGATCCCTGTGACTCCAAGGGTTACACACACAAGTTTTTGCCAGCGGGGTAGACAGATGTGGAGGAGGGCGCGCCTGCAGAGGACCAATTCTCAAGATTGCAGGTTCAGGCTGGTTGGGGCTTGATGGACAAAGAGTTGCGCGCTGCTCTGGAAACGCAGTGCCAGCATTCAACATGCAGACGGGAAGCTGCTCAGTGAAGCCAAGAGTGCGTGGGCAATGGGCGGTTGGGTTTGATGCGGCTGGGAACCATCCGACCTATGGGAACGCGTTCCATTTTCCTCGAGGCGTGCGTGGCAGGCAGCGCGGTTCAATTTCTTAGCTGAAAAGCATGGGGTGTGCGGCTACCAGATGTCAGCCCACAAGGCAGTGGCTGGGCGAAGATTTGTTGCTGCAGCGTGGCCAGGTCAGATGCAGTTCGTCGTCGAAATCTTGAACGCTGGTAAGAAGCCTAGCCACACACACACGCGTTGAGCATGGACGGTGGCATTGGCGACCAGGTCGTATTCATGGTTGGCCCCGCCGGCAAAGCGCGCGACTTTGTTTGCCACAAAAAACACCGCGCTCGTCTGGCAGTCTGGAGGGGGCAGGCTTTATGCAAGAAGCGCTGAATGAACTAGAAGAGTTGCCCCAAAGAGATGAGAGGCGCTTGGTTTCAGCCAGAGACAGATTCCAAGTCCAATAGAAACACAACGGAGGGGTGTTGTGTGGCAGCGCTGCACAAAGCGCGCAAAGGCGCGTGTCGACGAGTTCCTGACACTTGCGCCTGCCAGTCTGCTTGGAGGGTTTGCCGCTCGCTCACCTGGACACGTGAATGGCCACACCAAAATGCTATAACATTGATCTTCATTCTCGTGGTCTTGTTTAAGCAATCAACGTGCTGTTGCAATCAACACAGAGCCGGTTTCCCATTGAGCGAACATCTGAGACACTGCTTCACAGCGCAAGAGCGCTCGATGGACAGTATTTGTGAGTTTTCGGCGCAATGTTCTGCCTTGCGAAAACATTTGACACTCCGCTGACGCCCCGCTTTGCGAGCGCGAGCCTTCACTGCTGTCTCCCCAGGCGCCTCCCCAATTGTCCCCCGACTTGTTTGCTCATTGTGTGATCGTGTTTTTGTTTGCCGCTGCTGAGGTTTTGACGGTGATTGACGCGGATGTCATTTTGCATCCAATGTATTTTCAGCACATCAGCCATGACATTGCAAGCATGGAGGCCAGTAGTGAAGATTGCATTTTGAGCTGGGTTCTTGGAAAATATCATGTTATGTTGATAGCGTAATCCAGACGCGCACTTGCAAGGACAGAGGAGAAGATCCGTCATACACTTTTTGGCAGGCGTGTGATTGCTAGGCTGTTTTGAACACACGGCTCGAGGTCCAACGGCATTCGCCGTGTTTCGATGTTTGCGGGTTGGTGGTTCCGAGGCTCCTCAGTTGCCTTGGCGCAACTTTTACACCTGCGCTTCGCTCAGATTTTTCAGGCAAAGCGTACAGTTTTTTGTCATAGTTGCATGTGCATGCACAGCTTAGGTCCAGTCGTTTCACGCGTGTGGGGGTGAGCCTTTGCATTCACCGGAGTCAGGTGCGTCGTTTGGGTTCGAGTGAAACAAGAAAGGTACATCAGCTCTCTTTGGGAATTCGGTGGCGTCTCCGGACTGATCTACGGCTCACACCACATGGCGCGCAGCTCAGGATCGGGAGGCGGATAACTAGCATCGATAGGTATCTCATCAATACCTGAACAGACAGTCATATTTGTATTATATCTGGCTAATCCACAGTTCAAGCCTTACAGCCTTTCAAAGATCACACAAAATGCATTCCCCATGATGTCATGACTGGTATCGGCTATTCTCAATCAGTACTTCACTATACCCAGAAGCTCCCGCTATGCTTTGTTGAAAGGTGTTCAGCGCGTACAGTGCTCCACTGGATCTAGCAAAGAATGCTGAATGTTGGGATGGTGACGTCATTGCAGAGGACTGCAAGCGCAGGTGTCGGGAGGTGGATGTTTCCGAGGTGGATGTGCCCGAGTTGCTGCTTTGCCCTTCTCCTTCTAAAGCCAGGATCATCATGCCTTTCTGAAGGCCTGGTTCTACGCCGTGTTCCAGAAGACCCAGGCTTGTTGGAATTGCACGGTCCACACAGTAGGCGAATCAGGCAAGGCTTCCCCCCCAGGACAGAAACTTTCCTGACGAATGAGCGCAATCAATTGTTTGGCATTTCTTCTTGAGGTGAGGCTCAGGAAGGCTGCTTCGAACCAGGGAAGACTAGTTTTACTTATAGGCGCGTAGAGCTTACTTTACATGATATACATTATACTCCAAAATTATACCATTTGCTTGGCATAGGCAACTGGTTTCAATAGGATGCAAGTTAAACCAAAGCTTCAAGACAAAGGTGCACATATATGTATATACGGTACCCCCCCAAAGATCTACCTTTTTCATGTTGCACATATGTTTGTAAATGATAAAATTGAATACACAAGCAGAGAGTTACCCGGCCCCCACCCCAGCCTTAACCTCAGGTGATGAAGATGATTCATATGAAGAAAATAAATAACATATTGATTATATAAACTAAATTAGCCCAGCTGGAGACCCCAATAGCAAGATACAAACCCGGACAATAAGAAAAATCTGGAAACAGCTGCTGTTTTCAACACATCGACCATCTCTTCTTTGGACACCATAATCACATAACCGGGACACCATCACAAAATGGCCAGGGCACCATCAAAACATGACCGAGACACCGTCACAACATGACTGGGACACAATCAAAACATGATCGGGACACCATCACAACATGACCGCGCCACCATCACATGATCGGGACACCATCAAAACATGACCGGGACACCGTCACAACACGACCGGGACACCATCAAAACATGACCGGGACACCATCGCAACATGACCGGGACACCATCAAAACACGACCGGGACACCATCACAACATGACCGGGACACCATCAAAACATGACCGGGACACCATCAAAACATGACCGGGACACCATCAAAACAGGACCGGGACACCGTCACAACATGACTGGGTCACAATCAAAACATGATCGGGACACCACATGACCGGGACACCATCACAACATGACCGGGACAGCATCAAAACATGACCGGGACACCATCACAACATGACCGGGACACCATCAAAACATGACCGGGACACCATCGCAACATGACCGGGACACTATCACAACATGACCGGGACACCGTCACATGACCCGGACACCATCAAAACATAACCGGCACACCGCCAAAACATGACCAGGACACCATCACAACAGGACCGGGACACCATCAAAACATGACAGGGACACCATCACAACATGACCGGGACACCATCAAAACATGACCGGGACACCATCAAAACAGGACCGAGACACCATCACAACATGACTGGGACACAATCAAAACATGACCGGGTAGGCTCACTGCGTGTATTTACTGAATTTATTGTTCATCTGTTTTCGTATCACAGACTGCCAAGACCAAAAACCAAAAAACAAAACTGTGAGGAGAATCTTTGGTTTCAGCCTGAGTTTTTTTGGTGTCATTCATGGAAAAACCAAAAAGCACAATATGGTTTTTGGTGTTTGCTTTGGTCTATACAATCACCAATGCCCAAAAACCAAAAAGACAAGTGTTTTTCGATAAAACATAAACGAAAACAAAAAACCTTGAGTTTGTTGTTTTTCTATGAATGAAACCAAAAAGACAAACAAAACTCAATCAACACCAAAAAACATCTGTCAGGCTGAAACCAAAGATTCTCCTCAGAGTTTTGGTTTTGGCAGTCTATGAGAAGAAAACAAATAGACAAAAGGTAGAGCGACAAATATGGACTCACGATTCAAGACTGCTGGAAAAGCGTTTTCTAGGCATCTTGAGGCCAAAAAATGTTGAGGCTTCCTTTTCCAGCAACCCATAGTTAACAACACCTATCAACTTATTTTTGAATGTGTCCTCTTCTTGATTATCGCCTATGTTTGTGTTCACCAACTGATTCTGAATACCTCTGTAATTAATAGAATATTGTATCTTCGCTCTTCTCTTAAACTTATCTCATACCGGGTTCTTCAAAAAAACAGCCATCAAGTCAGGGATGAAAGGATTTCTTGAATCCCCCGAATGCCCCCAGCTCAATGTTGCTGATTGGTCTCCTGACATGTACCGACCTGAATGGCTGTTTTTTCTGAAGACCGCTGATACCGAACCTGACCCGACAACATTGAAGTTGGGGTACAGGGGGTTGAGACGATGACGTGGAACGACTCTGGCGATGGCTGTTTTTTCCCCACATTGTGTTGTGGGGCTTTGGTTTTTCTTGCTGCATCCTCCGTCCTCCCGTCCTCCTCCTCCTCCTCCTCCTCCTCCTCTCTGCTCCTCTTCATCCTCCTCCTTCATCATCATCATCATCGTCTTCTTCTTCTTCCTCATCATCCTCATCAACACCATCATCATCATCATCATCATCTTCATCGTCTTCATCATCATCATCATCAACACACCAACACACAACACACAACACAATGTGGGAAAGACGGCTTCTGTGACTTCTCAGGCTCGATCCGTGTGACAGGCGTGGCACTTTCAGTACTCTCATAGAGGTCTGCGGAAGCTTGGCGACGAGCCTGTCCGGTGTGGACGCCGGCTCGTTTTGTGTGGCAGGTGCAGCACTTGGAGCTCCCCAGGCTCGATCTGTGTGGCAGCCGTGGCGCTTTCAGTACCTTCATAGAGGTCTGCGGAAGCTTGGCGACGAGCCTGTCCTGTGTGGACGCCGGCTTGTTTTGTGCGGCAGGCGCAGCACTTGGAGCTCCTTACGCGATCTGTGTGGCAGGCGTGGCGCTTTCAGTACCTTCATGGAGGTCTGCGGAAGCTTGGCGACGAGCCTGTCCTGTGTGGACGCCGGCTCGTTTTGTGTGGCAGGCGCAGCACTTGGAGCTTCTGAGGGTCGATCTGTGTGGCAGACCTGGCACTTTCAGTACCTTCATAGAGGTCTGCGGAAGCTTGGCGACGAGCCTGTCCGGCTCGTTTTGTGTGGCAGGTGCAGCATTTGAGCTCCCCAGGCTCGATCTGTGTGGCAGGCGTGGCACTTTCAGTACCTTCATGGAGGTCTGCGGAAGCTTGGCACGAGCCTGTCCTGTGTGGACGCCGGCTCGTTTTGTGTGGCAGGTGCGGCGTTTGGAGCTCCCCTCGCTCGATCTGCGTGGCAGGCGTGGCGCTTTCAGTACCTTCATGGAGGTCTGCGGAAGCTTGGCACGAGCCTGTCCTGTGTGGACGCCGGCTCGTTTTGTGTGGCAGGTGCAGCGTTTGGAGCTCTTCAGGCTCGATATGGCCTTTGGAAGCTTGGGCCGGTAGCTAGTTACTTGCTTCTGAGTGTCTGGTAGCCGACGACATCACTAGCAAATGTTGTTGCAGAAGTTATACGCACGCAGTTTTCTTCAACGTGTTCTGACAGCAGTGTGTTCTTTGGTTTCACTTTAACCGGTTCCTTGATGTTCACGTAGGAATCGAGCTCCATGCACACGTAGTAATGTCGCGCGAGCAGTCACTCAGCCTGTGTCCCCTTATTACTAGATGTTCACGTATAAATGTCTCCGGTGATCGCGCCGACGAAGTGGCAGCGTTGCATTATTATTTGGCGCTGCGGAATGGATGTTTGTCAAGAGCTTGGGAAACCGTGAGATTGATGATGCAGACAGATGTTAAAGTGAGATGGTAGTGAGCCATTGAGTGTCAGGATCATGCGCTTCGATGTTCAAGAAACTTGTAGGCTCGGGTTTGCGAGAGCATGATTTTGAGCGACAGCACAGAGTATGAGAGCATGAGTATTAGCGATGTCACCGATTCCAATAGAACGCAGGAAATTGTGTCTTGCTATCGGCAAACAGGTCATGTTGGAGTTGGTCCAGCAGCTTGAGATGTAGGCGCGCCTTTGTGAGAGCATGATTTAGGGCGACAGCGCAGAGTATGACAGCATGAGTTTAAGTATGTCACAGATTCCGAGATAATACAGGAATTTTGTCTTGCTATCTTGTTATCGATCACGTCATGGTGGAGTTGGTACTGCAGCCTGAGAAAATACGATGCATCGGCTTTGATTTACGCGGGTCCTGTTGGCTTCAGCGCAAGATCTTCAGTCTTGTCACAGACGGTCGTAACAACAATTTACAGGACAGCTACGTGGGTTGTCTGCAGACCTGAAGCTACTTGCTGATTCTCTGCTGCTCGAAGCGGTTGGACTGCTGCTGCTCGAAGCGGTTGGACTCAGTGAATAGACACAGCGGATTGAAACTGCTTTGCACAGACCTGATGCTAGTTGCTGATTCTCTGTGCGATTATTTCCGGGCGTTTGTCCTGAATTTATTGGTCGTTGGCGCGTGTCGCACGGGGTCGGAGCTGCCTGTCACTGTGTTGTGGTAACAGGACAATGACAGGCATCTCCAACCACTGAGGGGTGACGTAGCAAGGACTTGGTGGCTCTGGAAGAACTACAAGCACAAGATGCACTCGCTAAGGCTGCGATGGGTTTGGCGGGCCTTGCTTCACCACTTTCGATGTCATTGTCAGCTGGACGTGACCTGCAGACCGCTTACACCGTCTGCTTGCGGTTGTCTTTGATGTCGAAAGCCATGATATGATTTGCGTCCACGACGACCCAGGCACAAGTAACCACAGCACTGGGATAAAACACGAAAACAACATCGGTCTGGTAGATTGCAGTGTGCGCTCTGCCAGATCGTTGCTGTTTTCGTTTTCTGTCCCCAGCCAGACGCTGTATTATTGTGGTGAATGTAAGTCAGTGACCATCCTTTTCGGGCATCTGGAAGAAGTTGCCACCATATAGCGGGTGAACCCTTTAGCCAGCAGTCCGTGTAACTCTGTTTGCAAGCAGTCCGTGTAACTCTGTTTGCATGGGCTGTCACCAGGTTGGCCGCTGTGTGGAGGGTCGCAAGTTCCTGCGTGGCGAAGCGCCTTGCAGATCCACCCGGAACTTGCATATCTGGGAGGCCGAACCCTTTACCAAGCAGTCCGCGTAACTCTATATGCGTGGGCTGTCACCGAGTTGGCCGCTGTGTGGAGGGTCGCAAGCCAAC